GCACGAATGTCGGTTACTGTGCGAGACGTCGGTGTGAAATGGCGAGTGTGGAGTGACCAGGGCAGGTTGGGGTTCTAGTGATGGATGGGGGTGCACCTGCAGGCAGTGGGCTGGTGAGGACTGTCTGTGGACGGGTGTCTCAGAGGGGCCTTCCAGCAGGTTCTCAGGAAGCTCTTCGGGAAGAGAGCCGGCAGAGGTCTGAAGTGGATCTCCTGGACTCGCCCCTGACCGGTCTGCTCCCAGTCCTGGCCTGGACTCCAGGATTCACTGTGGGAGCTGAGTCTTGGGTCAGGAGTCGATGCTGACTCGCACACTGAGAGACAGACAGGCGCCACCCCAACCCTGCTCCACCTACACACAAACACGCACAGAGTCCTACACAATTGCAAACTCGGTTTGGGAAGCTCTAGGACGGGTGGGGAGGGACTGGGAATGTGGGCGCTGCTCCCCCAGATGATAGGAAATGGGACCAGGCAGCCAGGACTGGAGAGGGCGCCCCCAGACCTGCAGTTAGAGGATAGGGGACCCCCCCCATCAGCCAGGCAGGTAAGTGCAGAGCAGGTGAGTCTCTCCTTCACTGGGTTTCCCTCACAGGTGACGCTGGTCTTCATCGATCCTGCAGGGATGTGATCGGTCCAATCTGGGATTGACACACTCCGAGGGGGCAGAGCAGGAGTCGTCTCGGGGAGACGGACAGGATGTCCCGACTGCCTTCCTCCTCCTCCCTGCCTGCTGGAGGAAGAGGAGGATGACGAAGAGCTACTGCTGACCCTGGTCCAGGTGGAGAGGGGATCTCCATCCTTTTGTTGGGGTGGCGGAGGGTGACCCTCAGGGTGGTGTCCTGACCTGCTGTCTCTCCCTCAAGATCCTGGTCAGACTGCTGCCTCTAGACTCATGAAACATCATAGTCACTGCACTGGGTATTTAATATAATCGTCACTGCACTGTTTTCATGATGAAGGACAGTTACTGTACTGTGTGTTCACTGTAATAATCACCACAGTTTATTTAAATAACCACTGTACTGTGTGTTCACTAATAATCACTGAACTCTGTTTTTATTGTGAGGGACAATCACTGTACTGGGTTTTTACTGTAATCACCATACTGGGTATTCAGTATAATAATCACTGTGCTGGGCGTTCAGTATAATAACTACTTGGTGTTCACTTTAATAATCACTGCACTGGGTGTTCACCATAAACATCACTGCACTGTTAATATAATAATCACTGATCTCCGTTTTCATAATGAGGGACACTCACTGTAATGTGTGTTCACTGTAATCACTGAACTCTGTTTTCATTGTGAGGGACAATCACTGTACTGGGTTTCTACTGTAATCACCATACTGGGTATTCAGTATAATTGCTTTATTGGGTAATTGATGTTATAGTCACTACTCCATTTACACTGACAGATAGTTGCTGTACTGGGTATTTACTGTAAAATACTGTAAAAATCACTGTACCAGGTGTTCAGTATAATAAAAACTGTAGTGGGTGTTCACTATGACAGGCAATCACTGTGCTTGGTATTCACTGTAATCATCACTGCACTGGGTATTAATC